CCCGGGGAGTCTCCTCCCTCGCGGGATCCCGCGTCCCCGCCGCCTCGGCAGCACCAGCCGGGAGGCGCTTCTGTATTTGCAGCATCTTCCAAGGCCTTTTCGCAGCTGGGGAGGGATCCAGGGCTGCGCCGGCTCCCAGCGAGCGGCCCGGGAGCAGCCGGGCTGCAGGCAACGGGGCCCGTTTCCAAGAAAGCTCCGTGCTAGGGGTTTTTAGGAGAATTAGGAGAATTCCTTCTGCATAGGGTAAAGCTGCGGGAGGTGCAGCTGCGGGGGTTTGCGCTGCTCCCTGTCCTGTGCCTTGCGAAGAGGAACCAGAGGACAGCGGAGCTGGCGCCTCCCGACCCGGCGTGAGCTGAGGCCAGAACAGCTGCTTGGAGCATCCAGCAACAGCTGGAAGAGTTTTGCTGCTGTTATTGGTGACAAAATACAAAATCCAAGGAAGCTGTTTCACAGGCGAGGGCTGGTTGGGATGTAGCAAGTGCAAACTGAGCTGTAACATGATTTTTTAAATCTTTTTCTTTTTTTTTTCTTTGCCTCCTGGATATCTGTTCCAGGTGTCCCCCTGCTCACCCTTGCACATTTTTTTTTCTGCAGCTGCAGCTCTCCCATCCCTCTGAAACCACAGGGAGAGTTTTAAGGAGCAGAAGCAGTCTGGGAATCCAGGTTAAAACTGGCGCCCTGATATTTTTCATAGGAGATTCAAGAGAGGAGATTTCAGGGCTCTTTTCCAAGGTGGTTCTGGGCAAAGAGGGCACTTACTAGACCCTTGGCAGTGTTTGAGGCATCCTGCTGTTTCCAGGGCTCGTGACCCTCCTTCGGATATGGTCTCAGCTCCCTTTAGCATCTAAATGGCACCAAAGCCAAGGGCAATGTCCGGCACTTCCAAAGCGCTTCTGGGCTGCAGCAGTGCCGGGGACCCAGCTGCGGATTCAGGAGGTCTTTGGGAAGATGGTTACGTTGAGTTTCCCAGCAAGTGGAGGGGAGAGGGCACGTCCCTGGAATTACCAAAGAAAGCCTGAGGCCAGGAGATGAAATGGGATCTGTGGGTCCTGCTACGGTTTTCAGCTCCGTCCAAGTCCTGCTGGCTCATTTGGGACAAGCTGCTTCCGCACCTTGTGCTTCCCCCCGCAGCCTGCGCACAGGGATGCTGCTGCGGGCGCTTTGCTGTTCCCTGCCCTCAGGCCAGGTGCACATGGAGCGTTGCTCGTCACAGGAATTCCTGCTTTGCGGCTTGCAGGGCCGGGCTGTGCATGGGACCCTGAGCTCCTGCTTGTCCTGTCTGCTCCGGCCCTGCTTCCTAGGGGCCCCTCGAGCTTCTGATGAGCTGGGGATGAGAAACAGGTGGATCCCGTGGGCACCAGGAGCTCGCGCCGGGCCCGGGATGTGGGCTGGGAGCTGGCGCGCGTTCCCGCTCCCGGCGGGTACCAGCCACGTGCTGGACGCGTGCGGCTGCTGCAAGGTGTGCGCCAGGCAGCTGGGCGAGCTCTGCTCCGCGCGGGAGCCCTGCGACCACCACAAGGGCCTCTACTGCGACGCCGCCAAGGGCCACCGCGGCAGCGGCATCTGCCTGGGTGAGTCCGTGCTGCCGCAGGGAAGGCTGCCGGGGCACACGCGGCACCGGGGGGTCTCCTTCGTCCTTGGGAGACCCTCTAACCCCGTGGTGGGCAAGCAGCAGCAGGTTGGGTTGCTGCAGCTGCAAAAAGCTCATTGCTTTGCACTGGAGATGGGCATTTTGCACCCAAGTGCTTACACACAAGTGGCAGACCCATATTTCTGTGTATAGCATGTGGCTAGAAACAGCTACACGGCTCATCTGCAAAGTAATGTGTACACAGAAACTAAGAATTATTGGCCAAGGTGTCCACGAATGCAAAAAAGTCCTGGGGTGATGTGTTTTGTAGTATTTACCTTGATGTCTTGCAAAGTGGGGGCTTTTGGAGGCGGTAAGGGATGCTGAGGACAGGCAGAACGAAGGGAAAGATCAGGTTTTGTGTAGAGAGAAATGGGGACTTGCTGGTGTCCTCCTGAGAAAGATGTGATGGGAGCAGAAAGGAACGGCAAGGAAACCTACGTACCAGGTTGAAGGCAGGATCAGAAGAGGCAGAAAGAGAAGTGAATGATTGAATCTAGAAAACACAATAAAAATATGGAACAAAGTGTTTGTGGGGGAATGGCATGATCATT